AATGCGGAGGCGGAACTCGTCGCCGCTCTGCTGCGCTGGCGTCTTGGACATAGCGCGCCCACGGCACGCTCTAGGCTTCCACGGGAGGACCCTGACCGCTTGTGTGCGGCCTTGACTGCGCTGGTCTGCGCCTGCGGTGCGACCCGCGGAGGCAAAAAGAGGCGGAGCTCGCAGAACAGCGGCCTCTCTCTGGAGGGGGGTGATCAGGATGTCGTGCTTCGACCACGAGGGGCTGCTGGCGGAGAAGCGGGGCCTGGTGCTCGGCATGCTCGGCGGGGGTGGGTGGGGGGGTCGCGAGGAACGGGGCGGAGCTCTGCGTCGAGGGGGGGGAGGGAACGCTCCATGCGCGGGGGTTGCCAAAGGTGCTCCTGGCCCAGGGTTCTCCCCAGCTTTTCTCTCAATCTTGGAGCCCCATGGGGGCCTTCTGGGCCTCGCGCGGGGTGCTCTGGAGGCCGCGGGGGCCTCCTTGGAACTCCTGGGGGGCGCTTTGGGCCAGGCGCACCTCTAGCAACACCCGACACTCCGAGGAGGAGGAGGAGGAGCAGGAGGAGGAGGAGGAGGAGGAGGAGGAGGAGGAGGCGGCGGAGGAGGAGGAGGAGGAGGAGGAGGAGGAGGGGAGGAGGAGGAGGAGGAGGAGGAGGAGGAGGAGGAGGAGGAGGAGGAGGAGGAGGGAGGAGGAGGGAGGGAGGGAGGGAGGGAGGGAGGGAGGGAGGGAGGGAGGGAGGGAGGGAGGGAGGAGGAGGAGGAGGAGGAGGAGGAGGAGGAGGAGGAGGAGGAAGGAGTGGGCCATCACATGTGCTGTGAAGGGAAGGCTAAGGGTTCGTCGACCTGGCCCAACCCAGAGCCTGTGCTGGGCTCCTCTCCTTCCGCCTGCGCTCCTGCCTTGAGGAGCGGGCCGGCAGGACAGGGAAGGGCAATGCGGACTGATGCCTTCACCGAACTTTTGGGACAGGCCTCGGAACAAATTAGCGAACACATGCCACATTTATCCGTCACCGCCCCCCCCCTCCCCCCAAATGTTCAAAGTTGGTGGTGGGTCTGATGAGATGCGCTTCGACCGCAGTCTCCCCCGCACGTGCCAACATTGAGTTTTTGGGGGGGAGTGGTCAGTAATTGTTTCCCTCTACCGGATGACGGCCTGACAGGAGCAATGGCCAAGCGCAGATGGACAATTTGCCCTGGCACGCCTTGTTTTTTTCTCTAAGGAGTTTTTTCATTGTGCTTCCCACAAGACCTGCACGCAACTACGAACGACTCAACGTCGGCATCGTCGCAAACGTACATCGCGTGCTCACGGTGCTCCTGGACGTCTTTTTTCTTTGTCGCTTTGGACTTCTGGATCCGCTTCGTAATCACCGTCAGAAAGCACACCAGGAGAGGTTTACGGGACGATTTTTTCTGGCGAGGACCGATATTTGTGGCGAGTCGAAATAAGTTTCCCCGCGAGTTAACGAACATGGGCAAACACTTCTCGTCTTGCTTCTCTTACGATGCGGTGGGGGTTTGGGGAGCAGCATGAGGCGGCGGAGGAGGAGGAGGAGGTAGAAAAGGAGAAGGAGGAACGCTCTTATCTCCCTGCTCCCCCCTCTTCCCTCCCCGTCGGCCCTCGTTATCCTCCTCCTCCTCCTCGCCGTGCTCCGAGGGATTCCGACAGGGACCATCGCTGGCGCCTCCCAGCTGTGGGGCTTAGTCCGTATGCAGCCCCGCAGACCGTCGATCTTCGCTTTCAATGGAGGTTTCCCTACCTACCTACTTCGTCCCTCTCTCCTCTTCACTCTACCAGGTGGCTGACACGCATTCTGCGGCCTGCCTGGGCGAGAGCTGGATACGCATGTGATGTGGCCGCACGTCTTTCCAGCGCTCGGCCCTTTTGTGCGGCCAGTCGCGCTGGCCCTCGGCACGTTTCTCCAGCGCGTGGCCGCCACACGCGCCACCCTTGAGCCCAGCCGCGTGTGTGGGCCTCCAGCTTCCTGGCAGCTTCCCCAGACCTGCGGAGTCGTGTTTTTTGTTGCTGTTTTTCACCACCCACCAAACCACCCCAACCCAACCCGAAGGCCTCAATTTGCCATCCATTTCCAGTGTGGGGGGGGGGGGTCGAGGAACGTTGAACAAACACATGGAACCCGTACCCCCCCCAACCCGAAATTCAGGTCAAATTCGGGTCTTCGGGTGGGGTTGGGGTGGTCTGGTAGGTAGTCAGTTTTTTTGTTGGGCAGCGTGGACCTCCCAATGGCTTCGACCCCTCCTACGAGCCAGCGTTCTCCTCCGGGGTATAGTTCTCGTGGACGGCCCGCGGGGCCTGAGGAGGGCCCCCTGGAAGGCTGAACGTGGCCACGATGCCCCGTTGTGTGTTTCGTCTCCCTCGGCGCCTCCTCCTCCTCCTCCTCCTCCTCCTCCTCCTCCTCCTCCCTTCCCCCTCTCCCCGAAGCCCCGAGGCTGCGCGGGGCCCAGGCCCCGCCGCACCGTGAGAAACGTGCACGACGGCAGACGGCATGTTCAGAGATGCTCCGGTTCCCGGGGACACTCGCGGGGCCTCAGGCCGGCGTCACCCCCTCAGGGTGCTGATGCGGTGTGCGCGTCGCCCCCCTCAGGGGGGCGACGCGCGCACCCAGAACTCTTCTAGTACCCCCGATTCACCCACCCCCGTCGCAGCAGCGCCCTCCGTTTGGCGCGCAGGTTTGTGCTCCTCGTCGTTCGTCGTCGGGGGGTCGGCGAGGCCAGTTGCACAGCGCCGCCGAGAACTGGCTGCTGGACGAGGCTCCCCCGTCGCGGGCCCCCACCCCCCGCGTCCGCCGCCGACCGGACCGAGCTGGCCGAGCGCAGCCGACTGCGCCGCCGCCGTCATTTTTTGCGGGTTCAGGTCCGTCGGTTTCGGTCGTAGGCCGTTTTCACTGAAGTGTGGTTTACTGAAGGGAGGTTTGTTCACCGCCGATCTTGCAGTTGCTCCCACTCCGGATCTTTGCACTCTATTTTGAGAGAGTGGCATTCGTCGCAGAGGCTGTCGTGATCGGTTGGCCCCCGCCGGCTTTGACTGTCCCCGTGTCCGTGTCTACCTTAATGTACTTCTTCTCAAAGCCCCACTCGGTGAGAAGAACACGGAGTTCCAAGAGCAACGGTCGCAACATTCGAGCTGCGTCGAAGAAGAAGGAACCACATAAACATACACTTTTGGCGCTCCGCGCGGACTACTTGGATCCGCGCCTGGGTCCCCCGGCGGCGCCTCCGGCGCCGCCCCTGGCGCGGTCCGGCGCGGATCCAAGAAATCTGCGCGGAGCGCCACAAGGTTATGTTTATGTTTTTTTGTTCTTCTTCTAAACACTCGAGCTGCGACTTGCGCAACGTAGTTGCACGAAGCCTTCCAGCTGCCATCCCGGGAGTGTTGTACGGCAGCGCAGGCGTGTTGAAGGGCGTCGTGAGCTTTCTGGTCCTTCGCCGTACGTGTCGACGGCTGCGAAAGGTATTCCTTCGAGATGGACTTCTGGACCTTTGTTGCACATCTTCTGTACCTGAACTTCCGGTTCCTTCAAAAACTCGGGCCGGGCGAAAGGGGGGGATTGGGAAAGGGGGGGTTACGAAATCTGCTGCATGCAGCTGGTTTCGGCCCCACCGAGGGGCCCATTCCTCGATACATAGCCGCCTCCGGCGCCGGGAGGCGCCGGGAAAATCAGCTACGTGAGCTGATTCTCAAACCCCCCCTTTGCTATCCCCCCCTTTCGCCCGACCCGAAAAACGTTCTGGCATCATTCCGTGGCACTTGCGAGCGTCGGCTGCGGGAGGCCACCGAGCACCAAGGTAGATTCCCTGGCCGCCGCTCTGGCAGCGCAGGTGGCTGACCGTGGAGTGCTTGCATGCGTCTTCAAATCTACGATCCCCTGATCGATGCCAGCGATCGCTTCAAGATGTTGTCCACGACCCGCCTGCCCAGCGTCGCGAAGTCATCCAACAACACGTCCACGTCTTCTCGGAGCTGCGTCGTCTCGTCCCCGATCTTTTTTTTATGCCGTTCTCCACCTCTTGCCGCAGCACTCGAAAGTCGTGGCCAGAGCGTTGAACATCGAATTCAGAAGCGCGAGTCCACAGGCGCTTGCATCCCCCCCACTGTCACTGGAGCCTGCGGGTCCTCGCATGCTCCAGCGACGTCGTCCGAGAACTTGCTCTGCCGCCGAGCGCCACGGTAGGACCCCTGCTGCACGGGATGCAGTGGGCTGCTCCCCACTCTTGCCTGCTTCGACGCACGCTTCTTGGGGGTGCGTGAGGACTCTCTGCACGTTTCCCCGTCTGCGCGGCCGAAGATGATTGCCCTGACGTGCTTCCAAAACGGATGTCCCCCCAACAGCCAGCGCTGCGCACCGGCAGCGGGCCAGAGGGCCAGTGCAGCCAGCACTGCTTGCCGAGCAGCGGGCGGAACAGCGAGATGCATGCAGGCTGCAGCGTCGCTTCAGCCTTGAACGATCGGCGATCGAAATGCCGCCGATCGTTCAAGGTTGAAAGGACCACGCGGTGTCATAAGCCAAGGTCGGATTCGTCACGAGAAAAACTTCCGTAGCAGCTCCAGGCACGCTCGCGTGTAGAGTTCTCGCAGCAGAGTCCTGGCTGCCTCTCTCTTGGATCGCTGCCTGTGATGCGAGGCAGCCTCACGCGGCTGTATCTCCGATCCTCCAATGTCTTGGCGTCGTGGAAAATCACGACGGAGGTTTTTGATAGCTTTCAGCTTCTTTGGACCCCCTATCTTACCGGGACACGGGACTGTCAAGAAGAACTCGGGATGACGCAGGTCTCGGGGAATGAGTCGAGACCATGGCCCACTGTTGTGAAATAGTTCCAGGGGGCTCCAGGACCTGTCTCCCTGAGGGCCGCCCTTCCCTTCTGCCTTCCCCCCCCTGCTTCCTCCTTCCTCCGTAGCCGCTGTGGCCCACAGCGAGGCGAGAGGGCCAGGGCTTGGAGGACGGGCCAGTTGGGCGGGGGAGAAGGGTCTGTCGGGCCTGATGCCGTAGCTCCCCATGCTCAGCACCGCGCAGTATGGCGCGTCGGAGATCGTCGCCTTCGGACTGGAGCGCGAGCTGGAGTACAGGCCAGGCGGGGTCAGGACCGGGATACACCGTCCTAGCGCGGGCTGGAACGCTCTCTGAGTCTTGGAGAGATCCAGAGCGCTCTTTACCAGCCTCGAACGTATCCCTATCCCTAAGATTGGCACGCCAAAAGACGATGACAAGTTTATGGATCCGCCCTCAAAAACAAGGGAATCCCTGAGATTGGCATCGTGATGAGGAGATGCCCAGCATAGGGCTAGGGATATGCTCCAGTCTGGTAAGCTCTGGAACGGCCGCAGCGCCCGATAGATCTTCCAGAACCGCCAGCGCTCGGCGTTAATAGTGTAGGGTGATCCACATGCTCCGCCGGTGCTGTGAGCTCGTTTCGCTCAAGGCTCCTGTCCTGTGCCCCGCGCTGACCATACAGACGAGAGCACCGGCAGGTTCATCGTCGCGTCCTCTCCTTTCGCCTCCTCCTTCCCCTCTCCCCAAAAAAAAAAAGATCTGCCAGAACCGCCAGACGTCGGAGGTCCCCGACTTGCCCCAGTCCGATTCTGTCCCAGTCTTGGCTTCGACTCCATAAGGGGACACATCACGCCAGCGGACCACCTGGTGCCCCTGCCGCGCCGGACCTTCGCGTCGGCGGACGCCAGGCAGATCAGGGTGTGGGGCCCCGACGGCGACATCACAAGGTTCGGGTCGCACGAAGGGGGGGGGATGGAGGAGGAGGAGGAGGAGGAGGAGGAGGAGGAGGAGGAGGAGGAGGAGGAGGAGGAGGAGGAGGAGGAGGAGGAGGAGGAGAAGGAGAAGGAGGAGGAGGAGGAGGAGGAGTAGGAGGAGGAGGAGGAAGAGGAGGAGGAGGAGGAGGAGGAGGAGGAGGAGGGGAAGGAGGAGGAGGAGGAGGAGGAGCAGGAGGAAGAGGAAGAGGAGGAGAAGGAGGAGAAGAAAAAGAAGACGAATCATATGAAGAATAATAACATGGATAACAATAATAATATTGAGAATAATAATATCCATAATAATACTAATACGAATACTAATCGTACTACTAATACGAATCATGAGAATAATAGCAAGGATATTACTAATAGTAAGAAGAAGCATCAGCACACTACGAATAAACATATTAATTATACTAATAAGAATGCGAATAATAAAATTATTACAAAGAGGAAGCATCATATACTACTACGGAAACGTGAAAGAATACTAAGAATAACACTAATAAAAAGAAGAGCAACGCTAATCATAACAATTATAATGATAATCATAGTAATACAAAAAATAATGATAATAAAAAGAAGAGGCGGAGGAAGAGGTTGAGGACAAAGGGGGGGGATGCGGAATCCGCTGCATACAGCTGGTTCTGTCTCTCTGGCGCCGGGCGCGTCCTGGATACAGTGGCATCCCCAGCGTTGGGAGGCGCCAGAAATATCAGCTACGGGCAATGATTCGCCAACCACTCCTTTACTGGCCGCTGGCCCTCTGTTTCGTCTGACCCGGCAGGTACACGTTCCCGTCCGCCCGCCGGTCGATGGTGACCGCCATGGCGTATTGCCCCGCCCACCAGGCTGTCCTCACCACCGAGCTCGACCTGACGGTGAAGGTGTATGGCACGGAGAGGATGGACCTCCTCGAGAATTTCTCCCTGGAGCAGCTCCGGAAGCAGAGCGAGCGCAGGTCCGCTGCGGCCAGCGCGGGCAGCGCGAAGGTCGCCGCGCTGTGCTACCTGGAGAAGCACGGCTGGGTGCTCGTGGGCGGGGAGGGCGGCTGCGAGCTCTGGCGCCTGTACAAGTCGGTCGCCCGACGCGACACTGGCTCAACCGCCTTCCGCCTCGCGCTCGATCTGGTGCGGGTCGTGACCAAGGAGCCCATATCCCGCGCCGTGGAGGCCCACACGCGGATCCTGATGTGGGGTCCGCGTTCGCTCCTCGTGTTCGACTCCGAGCTGGAGCCCATAGTGAGCATCGCCGATCCGCACGCCGCCCACGTCTCCACCGCGTGCCTCAACCTGGTTTCCAGCTTGGACACGGAGCTTCTGAGCGGCGCCGAGGACGGGACCGTCAGGTCTTGGTCGGTGCACATGAAGCCGAAGCTCCTCAATGCCGCGGATAGTGGCCAGGGAGAGGCCCGGGCGTCTGTCGAGTCCCGCCTGCAGCATGAGTTCCACGCACACGCGCGACCGGTCGAGATGGTATCCTGGTACGACCGGCCCCAGAGAGGCCTGCGCCAGCGGCTCTTCGTCTCCTACGCGCGGGATGGCAAGGTGAAGGTGTGGAGCCTCGAGGCCTTCGCGCTGGTCTACGCGCTGGACCTCAGCATGCTCGACGCGACGGCCACGCTCTTCCCGGTCTCGCCGCACCACTTCGCCATCAGCTCCGCGCAGGAAACCCCGGACGGCCTGGGGCAGTCCGCCATTCTGACGCTGCTGCGCTTCAACGCCCACGTCGCGGCGCCCTTCGCCACGTCCAACCAGAGCCCCGTGGTCCTGCTGGCGCAGCCGCCGCTGTCTCCAGGATTTCTCCGCCACGGCCGGCACTACTCGCCGGTGGCGCAGGGCGAAGGCGATGCCGCGGTGCTCGTCTCCGAGGACACGGCCGTGCGCGTCGTGGGCATGCAGGAGCCCAGCGCGGTGACGCCGGCGAGCCCCGCCGCGGGCAGCGGCGTCTTCGCCGGCGGCACCCAGTTCGCCAGGGCTACCTCTGTGGAGGGCGGTGGCCAGGGCTCCCCCAGCCCAAGCCACAGGGTCGCGCACCTCATCTCGACTCTTCCCCCGCCGCCGAACTCGAAGGTGCACGTGCTCGGGGCGTTCCTGGTCCCCGTCTGGCAGCTGCTCGTGCTGTGGCTCAGCACCAAGGAGGTCGCCGTCTTCTTCGTCCCCGCGATGTCGACGAGGCCGTCGAAGGCCAGGCAGTACGACAGCCCCACCGCCGGCCTCTTCGGGGGCAAGGAGGCCTCCAGTGACGCGTCCGCCCGCGTGAAGAGCGCCACCACCCCGCTGCTCCTGCGGAGGTTCGGCTCGCACGAGGTCCAGGCCAGGCTCCCAGACAAAGGCTTGCCCAGGGAGGCGTTCAGCAGTGTGGCGCTGCACCACGGGCCGCCGCCGGAGGAGTTCGACGGCGTCCTCGTCGCAGGCCTCACCGGCAAGAGGTCGCCGCCGCCTCGGAAGGACCCAGACGAGGTCGAGCCGGACTGGTTCCTGATGGTCGGCACGGATCTGGGGACGCTTCAGGCGTTCCGGCTCAGGGACATGCTGGCGGCACTGCCCATCTGGGAGCGCCTCGCATCGCAGCTGCCGGCGGGGGCCTGGGGCTCCCCCGAGCTCGGCCGAGACGGTGCGGCGCGAGCTCAGCACTCTCCGGTGGATGAGTGCGTCAACTTGGAGACGCCAGTGCCCCGGCCGAGCGGTCAACGGCCCTTCCCCCACGGTGCCGCCACCGTGAAGCTGCACGGCAGGTGGAAGTGCCACAATTACACCGTGGAGGTGACGAGCGCCATGGGCGGCCGCGCTCTCACGGTGGACGCGAAGCGGAACCTGAGGCTCTGGCGCCTGGAGGACATGTCCCTGGTCTACAGCCACAGGCTCTGCAGTCACGTGTGCCACGCGCCCTTCGTGCGGCAGCCCCTGCGGTCGCAGGAGCTGGCGGTGCACGAGTCCGAGAAGAGGGCCAGCCTCGTGCTGTCGGGCCTGGCCTGCGGGAAGGCGAACGGCCACCTGGAGCTCGTCTCGGAGAGCGACGACGGCCCAGTGGTCCTCCATTCCTCGGCATCGCACTCCGATGGGACGATCGCGGTGGACTACCTGTGGCCGTCGAACATCTTCGTCTCTGCTGGCAAGGACGACTCCATCAAGATCTGGTCCAGGGGCCTCGGGCTGCTGAGGGAGATCCTCTTTCCCCAGGCCCTCACCGCCGTCGCGTTCCGGCGGCACCACTGCCTGGACCAGCAGCGGGGCCACGGCGACGTGCTCGTGGGCTTCGCCGCGCACGTCGAACAGATACCGTTCGAGGTGTGGTCCCGTGGCATCGTCAAGGCGCCGCTGGGGCCCCGAGACAAGGGCGCCCGGGCGGTGACCACGACCGCCCAGGACCTTCCGGCGGCGCCCGGCGCCGAGCACGCTGGCGAGGAGGAGGCCGTGGACATGCCAGAAGAGCGTCGCCGCTCGGCGCTGCGCCAGCCGAGCGTGCCCCAGGCGCAGGAGAGCGAGCCGTCGTCCGCAGAGGAGGCGCCCCAGGAGGCGGCCGAGGCCCGCCGGCGCCGGGCGTATTTCGCCGACTTCCGCGGCGACCCGGCCCTGCCGCACCTCGGCGCCCTCGTCGGCCAGAGCGCCGTCGCGAAGGCTCCGGTGGGAGGAGTTGCCCAGGGGCCCCGGGTGGAGGCCAAGGGGGTGCGGCACGCCGCAGTGGACGCGCCCGACCCCGGGGACTTCCAGGCCGTCACGAGGCGCGACGTGGGCTACTTCGACAAGGCTCGGAAGTGCCGAGAAGCGGCGCGGGCAGGAGCTCTCGGAGGTCCGCGCGGATTTCCTGGGTCGGCGCTGGGCCTCGGAGGCGGATGAGGTGCCGATGCCGCTGCGTGCCTTGCCTCGTCGCCACCTGCCAGGTTCGCTTCGAAGTCCTGGTCAGAGCGCGCCCTGGAAGAGGTCCGTGCAGTAATTGGCGGTATGGGTATCTTGTTGTGCCCCCATTTCGGCCCCCTCCCCGCACCCCCAGCGGCGCCTCTGGCGCGTGCCGCGCGCCAGGGCAGGGTCTATGGGAACCGCGCACACTCATGCACAAAGCAGCGCCCTGTGCGTTTGGGGGGTCTCGTGGGTGCCTTCTTCGGGTCGGCTGCGGGCGCCTTGGGGGGCGTTTGATGGGGCCGCTTGGGGCTCCCGCGGGGCCGTCTGGCCGCCCTCCCGCCGGTCCTGGGCCCGCGGTCGAGGCGTTCAGCCCAGCGCCGACGCGAGAGCTCCTCGCGGACGTCCGACAGCGAGCCGTCGTGCCGTCCTCCGGCCCTCGACAGTCGAGCGTGTTTCTGTATTGCTCGGGGCAGCATGGGGCGTATTACAGCCCCCAGCCCCTCTCCCCCCCCCAGTAACGTATCGGGGTTGGACAGACCTCCTACCCTGACACGTCGATTGAGGAATTGGCCGTTTTCGGTTCGCGAGAGGGCGTCGCGGCCGTTATTTTTGCGGGTCCAGGTCCGTCGGTTTCGGTCCCAGGCCGTTTTCACTAAGGTGAGGTCTACTAAAGGGAGGTTTGTCCACCGCCGAACGTAACGCCCCTCACCCCCATTGCGCTCCGGGCACTGCCGCCGTGCGCACGGCGGGGGGGAGGCGTTACATCATACCCCCGCCATGGCCCCTCCCCCCTCCTCTATCCCTGACCTTCAGAGTGCTAAAACATAGCCCTCCAGACCTATGGACCTATCTGGGCTGCCTACAACCTCGACTGGAATTAAGATATCGAGGTCCTGGTGCTATTTTCTAGCCCTCCTGGAAGGTCAGGGTATGATGCCCATGATCGCCGAATTAATGCAGGAACGCGCTCTGTATAGAGGCCGTCGTCCCGAGCCCGGTGGTGGACGCCCGCAGGGCCGAGGCCATCCGCGGCGCGGCAGACGAGCGGGGCGTCGCGCTCGTCACCTCTGTGGGCTCGCGCTACCTCAACGTGCCGCCGCCGCCCGAGGCTCCCGCGGCCGCGCGGGCCCGCGCGCCCGGCGCGCAGGAGCCCGCCGCGGGGCGCCCGCCCGTGCGCGACGAGCCTCGCGCAGACCCGCCGGCGCCCGGCCTGGTCGAGGCCATAGGGGGCCACGTGCGAACCCTGCCCCTGCCCCCCACGATTGCCAGACCCCCTCGAGGCATGAGAAAATCACGACGGGAGGTTTTTCGCCATTTTCGGCCTCTGGGGGCCCCTACCGGGCCTCGGGGCTGTCAAAAAACGACTCGATGACAAACCGGTCTCGGGCAATGGGTCCAAACCGCTGGGGGTCGACGTCATGAAAAAATCACGACGTCGGGGGTCTGGGTTTCTAGGGGGGAGGGTGGGGTTCACTTCCTTCGGGAGCTCCCGAGCGAAGCGAACCCCACCATCCCCCTCAGAAGTCGTGGGGGGCAGGGGTGGGGTTCGCATGTGACCCCCTAGAGGCTGAGAAGTCCTGGGCGAGCGACGACGAGGAGGATCCGCAGACGGCATCTGCATACCCAGACCCCCTCGAGTTCTGAAAGAATCGCGACGGGAGGTGTTTCGCTATTTTCGGCTTCCAGGGGCCCTCACCAGGCCTCGGGATCGTCAAACAACGACTCAGGATGCAAAGCCTGTCCCAGGGAATGGGTCCAGACCTCTGGGGGTCGACGCCATGAAAAAATCACGACGTCGGGGGTCTGGGTACCCTGAGGTATCCTGGCGTTCCATTTTTTCCACAGCAGGCTTTTTCGCCCGGTTTCGGGCCTCGGGACCCTCACGGATGGAGCCGGCTGGAAAAATGACGCGGAAAGATGGGGTCTGGGGCTCTGGTGGTGATTTTTTCGATGTGGCAGCGTCAGATCTAACTGTGCACGACCATAGACCCTCCTGGCCTCGGCCAGGAGTGCGTATACACCTTGCTGGGGCCCACGATGGCCCTGGCCAGGCATGGCGGTGGTGCAAGATGCCCTCTGCGGGGGGAGGAGGAGATGCTCAGCCTGGGCCTGCTGGCCATCGGCCCGGGCCAGCGCAGCCTCGCGGGCAGGGCGGCGGACCTGGGGCAGGAGTTCGAGAAGCTGCCGCTGCTGCCCGACGCGACCATCCGAAGACGAAAACACGCCATCGTCATGAACTTCGGGCGCTCCGCGCGCATCTCTCGCACGGCGCTGGGCCCCCCCGGCGGCGCCTCCGGCGCCGCCCCTGGCGCGCTCCGCGCGCCATGGGAGGGGGTCCAGCGCAGGTCCAGGAGATCCGATGCGGAGCGCGGAGCGCCAAGGGTTTGTGCACAATTGTGCCGTTCTCTCTTCTTCGGGCCATGTCCCCGGTGCCCTCCGAGTCGGACTCGGCCCCGCTGGGCCGCCCGGCTCTGCGGCGGGGCTCCACGCACCGCCTCTCCACCCTGCTGAGCGGCCTGGGCGCCGCCGGCAGCCCGCGCGGGGGGGCCGCTGCCGGGGCGGACACGGCCACCCAGGAAGCAGGAGCGCCGGGTCTCCCAGATGGGGTCGGAGTAGATGGGGTCGGAGGAGGAGGAGGAGGAGGAGGAGGAGGAGGAGGAGGAGGAGGAGGAGGAGGAGGTTGACGGGGTCGGAGGATCGCGCCGCATCGCCGATGCAGTGGCGATGCGGAGCCCGATTTTCTCCACGCCGAGGGCGCCGATGCATCGCCGATGCGTCGCCGATGCGGCGCGATGCTCCCACTCCACCTACTCGGACCCCACCTGGGAGGCCTCTAGGAGCCGCCAAGGCTCGGGCGAACCCGGGGGCGCTGCTGCTCTTCGGCCCGCAGGCGGGAGCGCCGCGGCCGCAGGCTGGCGAGGGCCGCCGGCGGAGCGCGGCCAAGCCCGACGCGCCCCCGCGCGCTCCGCCGCAGGGGCGGGCCGCCGCGGCGGCCCCAGGGCCCCCGCAGGCCGACGGCGCGGGCCGTAGGGCCAGCAACGCCAGCAGCGCGGGCCCAGGCATGCCATCGCCCGGCCCGCCGTCCCCGGGCGAGTCCACCGGCGAGGACACCGCCGAGGAGGAGATGCGCAGCAGGCGGGCCGCGAGGGGCCTGCGGGGGGGCGGCGGGCGCGCGCGGGCGCCCAAGGCGCAGCACGTCGCCAACACGCCGGGCGACACCGCGCGCCTGCTGGAGGCGCGCGGCGCCGTGGAGGAGGCCCCGGAGGTCTCGGAGGAGAACTTCCTGAAGAGGATGGTGGTTCAGAGGACCGAGTGGCTCTACCTGCCCGCGGGCCACGAGGCCCTGGAGCGGCAGAAGGCAGAGAGCCGCAGGCTGCAGCGGCGCCAGGGCTGCAGCGACGTAGAGCCTCAGGCGTGTTGGAGCCCTGCCGGGCGGATGGTCATGCATGGCCACCTGGCCCCCACCAGCGCGTTGCCGGATGGCATTGTGCCGCAAGTGCCCGTGCAGCAGACGCGCCGGGCGCCCATGACGCGCGGGGAGGTCACCGAGCAGCGCCTCATCGAGTCTGCCAGGGCCGGGCCGCCGCTCTCGCAAGGAGCGCGCGTCGAGTCCTCTCGGCATGAGCTGATCCGACTGGGCAGGCTCGAGCTGGAGCACCGTGCGCCGCACTCTGCGCGCGCCTACACGGGCGCCGCGGAGTGGCTGCAGCGCGACCGCAGGAAAAGCACAGCCCGCGAGCTGGCTGCTGCTAAAGCAGGATCAGCCGCCCTCGCCGCGAAGCTGGCTGCCGAGGCTGTTGAAACCAGTGCTCAGCAGGCCCACTCTGGAGGCAAAAACTCGGCCTCTCCAGTGCGCGCTGACGCTGAAGCTGGCAGTGGCTCTCCGCGAGTTCGCCGCCGAAGGCGCAGCGTGACAACAAGTGTGGTTCTGTGCATGGCACTAGCGTCCGACTGAGTTTCATGACGCTGGCTGGCTGGGCAGGACGGAAACACTGGCGAAAAATACCCGACGCTTGCGCCGAGGGGTAAACGGGCATGGCTGTGTCGTCCTCAGTCCGTATTGGGCGGGGCTAGGTGGGGCCTTTGGTTGGGAACCGACGACGGTGACGCAGGGCTCAGTGGGCGCAAGTGTTGGGAAGGGACGCTGGCGGCGCAGACGTCTGGTGGGAGCTTTTGTCGGGAACCAGCGGTGGCGGCACGGGGCCAGTCGGGGCTAATAATACGAAGCTTAGTTTAGGCAACCGGCTCTGCCGGCATGGCCAGTGGGGCTCGGCTGGGCTGGCAGGCGCAGGGCCCAGGCCAGAAGGGCTGGACGGTACCCAGCTATGGCTGCTCACAGTGCTTACTGATGGGGCCAGCGGGGGCTATCGAGAAGCCAGCTGCTCATGACGCGGCCAGCCTGGGCACGAGCTGGATACATGTGTGGTCGCGCGTCTTTCTGGTGCTCGGCCCTCGTGTGGACGTGTGTGCGTGTGTGTGTGTGTGTGTGTGTGTGTGTGTGCGCGTGTGCGCGTGCGTGCGTGCGTGCGTGCGTGCGTGCGTGCGCGTGCGCGTGCGCGTGCGCGTGCGCGTGCGCGTGCGCGTGCGCGTGCGCGTGCGCGTGCGCGTGCGCGTGCGCGTGCGCGTGCGCGTGTGCGCGTGCGTGTGCGCGTGTGCGTGTGCGTGTGCGTGTGCGTGTGCGTGTGCGCGCGCGCGTGTGTGTGTGTGTGTGTGTGTGTGTGTGTGTGTGTGTGTGTGAGTGTGTGCGTGTGTGTGTGTGTGTGTGTGTGTGTGTGGGATTGACTCCGCCGCGTTGCTGCGCGCGTGGCCGCGACGCCAACAAGTGTGTGTGTTGTGTGTGTGTGTGTATGTGTGTGTGTGTGTGCGGGCGCGTGTGTGTGTGTATATATGTATAGGTTCGTGTGTGTGTGTGTGTGTGTGCGAGATCGGTACATTCCCTAGTGCGGCAGGGCCGGCCTCGATTTCTTGGAGGCTCTGCTGGCGGCCAGCATCCAGCTGCGCCCTCCAGCGTACACTCCCAAGATTGACCCTGCTTGAGTGGGTCCTTCCTCCGGTGAGGGCGCCGGGGTGGATCCGGCGTCACCCTAACATACCAGTACTATATGTTTGCGTCGGGCGCCTCGCGCACCTAGAAATCTCATAGCATACGCGCCGTGGCGGGCGCTTTCTGGCCATGCCCGCTCGGGAAACGATGGACCGCGCCATGCTTGTCCCATATGTTCGGGTCGGACGCGCGGCCTCCAAGGAGGACATGTAGAGCACCAGTATATGCCTCTGTGCGCCCCCTGGGCCCGCCCCCCGAGGGCCCCGCGCGACCAGCGGTCGCGGCCCCCACCCGGGCCCGGGCGGAGGCAGCGCAGCCGGGGTCCCGGCAGGCGGCGGTGCATTGGGCGAGGGGGCGCCGGGCGCCGAGCCGCGGCAGCGCTCCACCAGGCCCGGGCGCGCCCCTCCGGGCGGTCCCGGCTCGCGTGCCCTGGCGCCCGCGGTCGCAGGGGGCCGCTCCACGGGCGCCCCCGCTGGGCCGTGGAGCCCTGGTCGTCGGGGATAGCGTGCGCCTCGAGTGCGCCGGAGCTCGGGTCTGCCGACGCCGGGGTCTGGGCGGCCCAGTCTTCGGGGGACGTGGGCAGCGGGAGCGCGCGCCGGGGTTCAGGCCGGGTCTCTCGCCGTTTTCAGGCTGGCCCCCGTCAGGCCAAGCCGAGTCCCCCGAAGCCGAGTCTGCCGTCTCCCCGATCTCAGCCGCCTCGCTGGCACGCCCACTACGGACGACAAGGCCCTCGTTGCGAAGCACTGCGTCCAGCTGGGCCGCCTGCAGGCCGCCATGTGGCGGGACTCTTTCAAGCGGCAGCCTTGCCCCAGCGAGTTCTCACCCAGTTCTGCAGCATGCGTACGGGCACAAAACCAGAAAGGCTCGCCCTGTCCAGACAATTCCACCGTCCAGCTGTCCCCGCGGTCACGACCCCGCCACCGCCTTCCCGCCGCAGGACCTCCTGGCGCACCTCCAGAACGTCTGGACCCGCGCCGGGCAACCCGACATCTGGCGCAAATTCATCACCGCAGCCTTCCTGCCAGGCTCCCTCTCCCCTCACCTCGACCCCAGGATCAACCGACCCGAGTTTGTCGGCGCTGTCGTGGACGGTTGGGAGTCGCTCCGGCTGAACGACTGGATGACTCTCACGCTCTCGCAGCAGCGCGAGCTCGCCAAGCAGCTTGTCCAAGCACAGCCTGGGGACGGCCGCCGGGACGCCCTGTGGGGCGCAGCACCTCCCAGCTCGGCATCTGCGGCCGCAGCGGCAACCGAGGGTGGCGCTTCTGCCCCAGCGCGGCGGGCGCTATGGGCTGACCAGTCTCCGGCTCCCGTCGGCGTCACCCTGACATACTTGTACTACATGTGCGTCGCCCACCTGGGGGGCGACGCGCGCACCGAGAAGTCTCGCAGTATATGGCGGGCGTTTCCTGGCCGCACCGCTCGGGCAACGACATACTAGAGGATGGGTGTACTGTATGTCTGGGTCGGCCGCGCGCCTCCAAGGAGGGCGTACAGTGCCAGTATGTCCTCGTGCCTCCCATCCCACGGCTCCGCCACAGCCACCAGTGTCCCGCCGCTGCGCTCTGCACGGCCCACCAGCTCAGCGCCTTCCGTGTCGGTGCCCCCGCCTGGCTGGCGCGCGCGGGCGCTCAGGGGGGCCCGGCCGAGGAGTCCAGCTCTCGGGGACGCGGTCTCGTCCTGGCCCCACCGCCTTCCGGCCCGCCCCGGGCGCCAGTTTGGCGGCGACCATGCGCTCGTCACTCCGTCCAGCAGCCCGCTTCCATCCGTCGGTTGCAGTTCCCCCTGCGCATCTCTCGCCTGGGTGGACGGTCGTGTCCTTGCCTTGCCGGCATCCCAGGCCTCACGCGTGGCCACCTCCTTCAGTCGCCTTGTCAGCACTGCTGGCTGTGCCGGTTTTTCAGGTTGCGCGCTGCGTGCGTTCATTACCTTTGTCTTGTCGCTGTCGGTTGGCCTGTCGCTGTGCTGCTCGTCACCGTCTTCAGTCGTTGCCTCATTTTTTTCACTTGCCACCCACCCGCCAAAAAGTGTGTGTGTGTGTGTGTGTGTGTGTGTGTGTGTGTGTGTGTGCGTGTGCGTGTGCGTGTGTGTGTGTGTGTGTGTGTTCTCGGCTGCTGGCGCTGCTTGGTTCCAAACAGCTTGAGGGCTCGGACGTCTAGACGCGCATGCGCGCCAGCTTCTTTGACCTCTCTACGCCCTGTCGCTGCGCGCGGGGCCGGGGAACATAGAGTGAGTGTGTGTGTGTGTGTGTGTGTGTGCAACCTTCTACATCGCCGAGCTCGTGCGCATCATGGCGAAGTTTGAGTGCACCTTCGTCAACTACACCATCGAACCTCATAGTAGTTTTCTCACAATATGCCTAAGCAGCAGGAAGGTCTTGCGTCGGGGAAACGTAAGACTCGAGTAAGCTGGAACTCGGGTTCGCCGACGTTTTTTTGACGAGCGCGTCTTGGCTTTTGACGGTCCAGTTTTCGGGGATGTCTGCAGCGGGAGCTCGCGTCAAATTTCAGATTTGGTCTCGCCATTTTTATGATGGCCCCGTCAGGCCTACCCGAGTCCCCCGTACCCGAGTCTTCGCTCTTCCCGATTATGATTTTGCCAAGTGTGTGTGTGTGTGTGTGTGTGTCTGTATCCTCCTGGTAGAGGGCGAAGCGTCGGGATCTGGCGCAAGCCTCACATAGGGCCAACGAGGTAAGGGGACCAGCGGCAGGCGCCCCGGCGTTCGCCGCGGGGCTTGCGGGTGCTTTGGGGGCCGGCGGTGGCGTCCCCCGGGGTGCACGGTAGGGTTAAGTCGGGCGTGTCTTTCTACAGGAGGAATATTCAAAAAAAGTAACAAATAGTGGGATGATTTTTGGGGATATTTTTGAATTTGTGTGGAGGATTTTGTTTTGCAATATTTTGAAAACTGTCGCCCAAAATCCGCCTGTAGGAGGAGGACATGCCCGACCTAACGGTAGGGCCAGGGAGGAGGCCGGGGGCATCGCCGATGCATCGGCGATGCGGCGCGATCCTCCGACCCCCACAAGTCGGACCCCATCTAGGAGGCATCGATTTGGCTAGTCCGAGAGCTGGGTGCCCACGGGGCGTTCCAGGCAGCGCCTTGCCTTGGCCGATCGAGGGGGCTGCCGTCCCTTCCCGGCGGGAGGCGGCGGCAGTTCGGCATGGGGGCGGCGGAAGTCAAGCGGTGTCGGCTCCGCTGGCAGAGTCGGGCGGAAGGCCAGCGGAAGGCGGCGGCAGCAGAAGATGCGCCTCCAATCGGCGTCGCCCCAACATGCCAATACTATGTGTGCGTCGCCTCCTCCCCCCCCCCCGGGGGCGGCGCGCGCGCCGAAACATTGCATAGTAGTTAAGTCGTGGCGGGCGCTTTCTGGCCACACCTCGCATGTTCGGGTCGGACGCGCGCCTCCTCGGAGGACGTATAATAGTATTAGTCAGAGTGAGGGGGCCGAACGGTCATTCGCTGTCCCTTGGCGCGTGGCTGAAGTAGGATTCCGCGATGTGGATTCTCGTTGTTGTTGCTGCTGCTGCTGCTCCTGCTGCTGCTGCTGCTGCTGCTGCTGTTGTTGTTGTTGTTGAATATTATTATTTCTAAAGAATAATTATTGTTGGGCCCCCTGGTGCACGCCCCCCCCGCCGCGCCTAGGCCGCAGCCACGTTTTCATCATTTTCGTGAGGAAGCCTCAGGTAAAACGATGTCTCCAGATCCGGTTGTTTTGTTGACGCCCGCTTTCCATTGCAAAAAACACTATAAAATGAAATTTCTTGTTCTAACATATCCAAACTTCAAGAATCCCTTGCAAAAAATAAGGTAAAGTGGACATTCGCGCGCGCAAGACGAAATCCTTCCAAAACCTTAGTTTTCGTAGCGATTTTAACATAAAAACATCAAAAAACCAATGGTTTTTCAAAAAAAAAATGTCGAAATTTCATCCCGCGCGCTCTTGCGGATTCGTAGGAAACCCAACACTTTTTAAACATTTCTGTCAAACGGGCTTTTGCGAGCAACTTTTTCGAACTTCTGCAACAACGGTTGCGCACCTGCCAGGGCCATCATCCCTGTCAAATAATACCATGCGGGACACATTCGTTTTTTCTTTGCGCGCGCACGCCGTCGTCGTCGGCCGCGGGGCCCTGAATAGTAGCCACGGTCGTCCGCATGCCACGAAGTGAAGTGTCCGAACGTCATAGGGCGGGAAGCTGGGTGTGGGTGGTGGCGAAGAGTCGTTTGGAAATTTGGTAGAGCTTGAACCGGCCCCCCCACAAAGTGGGGGTATTGCCCGCCTCCTATGAAAACCCTGGCACTGGTGAGAACGGAGTGTCCCCACGTGCTAGTAATTGTTGTTGTTGTTGTTGTTGTTGTTGTTGTTGGCTGTGGCTGTGCTTGTGCTTGTGCTTGTGGTTGTGGTTGTGGTTGTGGTTGTGGTTGTGTTTGTTGTTGTTGTTGTTGTTGTTGTTGTTGTTGTTGTTGTTGTTGTTGTTGAGTATCCATGTCTAAGGCATAATTATGGTTGATCTCTGGAAACGGTTCCGCGCGCTCTCGCCTCGACGCCGGCTACATGTTCTCTGCAAGCGAGACTCCCGCGCGAGCGTTGGCTTGAGTATAACTGTGGGCCCTCGGGGGCCCAGCTACAACCAAAACGACTCCCGCTCGATACTTCCTCGAGACACCCTGGCCAGAGAGGATGGTGCTCTCGTTCGAGACATCCTCGCAATTCAATTAAGTTGGCGAAGGCCCAGCCACGACGACAAGGGCTTCTGCTCGATATTTCCTGACGATTTACTCCGAGAGCCCCTGGCCAGGAAGGCCCCCGAACTCAGGAACGGCGCTCTCGCTCGAGACTTTCTCGTGAGTCAGTCATATTGGTGGAGGCCCAAATGCGACGACAAGGGCTCCCGTTTGATATTCCTCAATATGCATTTGCAATTCCCTTGCCAGAGAGGCCCCCGATCTCCAGAGTGGCGCTCTCGCTTGAGACTTTCTCGTAATCGAGACTTTCTCTAAATTCAGGCAAGAGTGAGGGGTGAGGCTCAGAGGATTAGGCAAAGGACCTGAGGACACGCCCGCTCCGTGCCCAGCGTCACGGTGGCGGATGATTGGATGCTTCGCGTACCCCCAGAAGCTCATTCAGAGCCGATTCCTGGCCAGCTCGTCGTTAGAAAGGAAGCGGGCGAGCACAGGGACGCGAATATGGGGGGGGCACTTGTCAGCTCGGAGGTGGACATCCAGCTCGGCTTCTCGCGGCTGCTGGGCGCGGCGGAGGGCATCGAAGCCGCCCAGCCGGACGGGCGGGGAGGCAGCTCTCGATCGCCGATCGAAGACAGCAGGTTTGACAGCTTTTGAGCCTTTCTGAGCCGCGCCCTCGCGGACACGGTTGGTTTCGCATTAAGGCTCTGATTAGAACGGACTCCTTGGACAGGATTGGGGGATTGTTCTTGAGGGGGATGAGCCCAGATCCTTTCACATCGTGGCAAAACAGCGATGGCAGTTTTATCTTTCTTTTGTTTTCCGGCTTCTTGCGTCCCAACGGGGTCGCGGGACTGTCAAACAATTACTCGGGATGAAACGCCAGTCCCCAGGTGGGTTTCGAGACCTCCAGGGGACCACGTTACAAAAAACACGAACGACGCCGGGGGCTTTGTCGCGGCGACGACGCCTCCGGTCCTCCACGTCGTTATTTTTTTGAAAACTTTCGTCTTCATCGCCAGGGCCTTGGATTCGTCGCCGGCAGGTCTCTTGATGGCTTTGGGCCTGTAAACTCCGCGCCCTAGAGGTCGAAACCGATACAAGAAACGCTCGTCGCGACGTGGCGACGTCTTCAGACTCTAGACCCTCGACGCCGTGCTTTCTTCACATCCTCTCGACCACGTCCCCAGGTCGGAAACTGGAACATATACACTACCAGTGGCAGGTTGAGGGTCGAGGACGACGTCGGGGTGGTGTGGTGTATACTTTTTCCCCGGTGTCCTTGGGAAACATCCAAACATGTAT